AGAGAGAGAGAGAGAGAAGTGGTGGTGGTGGTGGAGGGAGAGAGGGCGGAGGGAAGTGGGGCGGCAGAGAGAAAGAGAGAGCAGGAGGGAGTGCGAAGGACGGCGGCGGTGCGGCGGATGGCGACGGCCTGTACGCCTGCTGGGTAGGCCGCGGCGAGGCTCCGCTGTCCGCCGGGTCTGCCTACCTCACGGGGGCCCCGGCGGCCGGGCTCGCCGCGCCCCTCGCCTGGCCCAGCCCTGGCCCCCCGGACCGACCGGGGGCTCACTGCGGCTCGGCCCGGCCCCTGCTCACTATTTATTCACACGTCTTTACGGCTTGGCCGACTGCGGAACGACCGCTCCCAGGCCCAGGCCCGCCCCCCGGCCCTCCCTCGTCCCGCCCCCCAGCCCCGCCACCGGGGGTGTCCCTCCCTGGACCCTCCTCCTGTACTGTCCGCCCCGGGCCACGCCGCCGCTGTGCCTGTTTGCCGCATGTCCACGTCCACCCCCGCCCCCGCCGCCCCCCGCAGAGTGAGCCCTCGGCCCTGCCCTGCCCAGAGTCCCCGCTGGTGCTGCTGCTGGTCCCGAGCTCGCAATGTTTGCTTAGGACGCGGCGGTGGTATCCTGTGCCTGTGGACGTCTGCGGAGAAGAGTCCACGCTGTTTGTTCTGGGCTCATCGTCCTGCTCGGGGAGCCCCCCCGGGGGTGGGGCGGGGCCAGGCCGAGGACGGCGGGTCGGACCGGGCCGGGGACGGGCTCAGCTAGGCCCCCGTAGAGACCACATCCTCCTCCGCCCGTGCTTCGCCCTCTCCCATTTTCGTCGTAGCTTCTCATCTCCTGCAAGTTACATCCAGGGCTCACCACACACCGCCCTCCCCCCTCCCCTCCTCCCGCTCTTGCCCTGCCGCCCAGCTCACCTCCGTCCCTCTTACATGAGCCTCGCTTCTGCCGTCACCCCCCCCCCCTTTGCTACCTTATCCCCCTTTTCGCAAACCACGTTTTCGTCTAAGGAGGAAAAATTAGGTTCCTTCACGGGAAAGTTAGCGAGAGGGAAAAGAAAACATGAGAAAAATTGATGGTGAGCCTCTTTTGAGGGCGTCACGACGTTGTCGCATTCACGCACAGTGTACCGGTCAGTGTTTGGGGTGGCTCGTCGTGCGAGGGTAGCGCGCGCCGAGGGGGAGGAGGAGGGGGGCTGGTCAGCCAATACGAAGCCGGCTCCGCGCTGGCACCACTGTAGCTCGCGCTCGACAGGACCTCCCCGCGTCCAGCGCAGGGAGCCACACTATCGCCCACTATCATGTTCGGTCTATGTTGGCCACTTGAATGCAAGTAATAT